CTCGGTAGCCGGCTAGAGACATCGGGCCCTCCTGACCCAGACGCAGCCGGGGGGGCTAGTAGGAGGCGGGCCCCTACTTAAATTAGGGGGTTTTGATCGCACTTGGCCCTTTCCCGTCATCAGGCAATTTTTCCCGCATCATCAGGAAAAGAGGGGTGCCAGCTGGCACGAAAAAACATCGTGGGGTTCCCGGAGGCAGCGGGGTGCACATGTCAGGGGGACCCAAAACTCCAGGATAAAGCACCAGCTCATGCAGCCTACCACCACGGCCATATGGGCCGGGCCGGGGGAAAGTACATCACCAGTGAGGAGTAGGGGGCAAATTTTCTACTCGGTGGTGGGCAATTTTTTCCTCAAGCCGCCCGGGGAAGTAAACTAGCCGATGTCGATAATGGGCCAGAAATGCAACGGGGCCAGGGGCCCATTTGGGGCTCCCCAGCGTTGCGTCAGCATATGCAGCGTCACCATTGGGTGGCCTGGGAAAACCCCTTTAAAATACGCCCCCCTCCCCTACCAGCCCATCCCCCCACCTTCACCCCACCTCTGCTGGGGGGGATTTTTCCTTTTTGGCATCTTCCGCTCGTTCAATGCCTTCTCCTGCTACCCCCCTTCTCGTCAACAGTTCTTTTTCTTGGAATCCCGTATCCAAGAGACAACAGTCTGCGAGCACAGCACTCCGACGGTGCAACAAAGCTGAACGCCCTCCTGTCCAAGTTGCTGGTGCTCGCAGTCCCTCCCTTTCCAACTGGTGGACTCAGCACCTTTCCGAGAAAATGATGGCTTGTGCCGCGCCGCGGTGGAGATGCCAAGCCGTCATTTCTTTGCCCAAAAGGCAGTGCCCACCCTGCATTCACATGTAGAAGAGATGGTGGGCCAGTCTTTGAGCATGTCGGTCTTCTGCCAAAGTGCACGGCAGCGCCGACGTGTGGAGCTGTAACTACGGTCAGGGACAGTACATGTCATTTACGGCCCACTGTGGGTGAACGTGTGCCGGCACAGCCGCACCAGCAACTTGGACAGAGTCACATACGCTTTTGCCTCCACGTTTGCACGTAGATCCTATTGTCCAGTCAAGCCAATGTCCGCCTCTACCACCTCTTTTTCCGCCGTGTCCTCAGCCGCCACCACCCCCGTGCCAAGTCCCATTACCCGAGAACCGGCATATCACATGTGCAGGGCGCAACGGTGTCACGCTGTGCTGCACCTGGTATGCCTTGGCGAACGTAGTCACACAGCGGGGAGGAACTTCCGGCTGAGTGTAATGAACAGAGAAATCGACAGATGCTGTCTCCGCTGCAAACTAAAAATCGAACCATGTTGACTGACAACGGAAAGAACATGGTGTCTGCCTCTGCGTCAAGGAAGGTTTTGTGCAATGCGCCATGCAATGGCTCACGAGTGTTCAATCTGGTTGTCAAGCCGCGTTCCTAAAAATCCACCATCCCACTGCAAGACATCCTTAAAATGTCACGTAAACTGTGCATGCATTTCAGCATTCCTACACCGCAAAGAACACCCTCATTGAGCTGCAGCGCCCAGAACGGACATTCCACAGCATCGCCTGATCTGACGACGTTGCAACAAGGTGGAATTCAACCCTACACATGATTAGACCGCCTTTACGAGCAGCGAAAGGCCATCACACCCGATTTCCTGATGTTACAAGCGGATTAAAGGTATCACTCCCCTGTTGTGTAACTTAGATGTCAGCCATTGGCAGCTCATGCGTGACACACTGCCTTGCTTGCTCAGTGAGCGGCCCTTTGAGAGGCCAACGCTATTCGTGAGTCGGCAGGACTATGGGATGAGAACGACGTCATTCCTCTGTTGCACGTCCTGGAACAAATGCTGTTAACAATGGCTGGTCAGGGTGCGGGTAGACGTGGCGCACAGATCTCAACGCCACATGACCCCTGTGGGGCAGGACAGGAAGAAGAGGACAGGAGGTAGAGGAGGACATTTGTGCTCAGAATTATTGAGTGAAATAGGGTGGTTTTTCCACTCAGCGGACAGGATGGAGGAGCAGGAGCATCTGTAGAGGAGGAGGAGGAGGAGACAGAGGACCCAGACGCACCGTGGCAGTATGCTGTGGAGATGGAGGCAGGAGTCCCTCGCATTCCTTGGCACAAATGGCCCATAGCATGCTCGGTTGCTTGCGTAGCGACAGCCGAATAATAACCATCAGACAGAGGGATGACTTTTTGGCTGTCCACCTTGTTGGACCACTCCCTCGCTACCGTTCCAAAATGGTGGCCTTTTTCACACCTGCTGAGAGGGAGGCCAAAATTACGTACTATAAAAACCACCTATGTAGTCAGTTGGTCTCTGCCTTTGTGCGCCAACGTCCATCCTCAGACACTGTGGGGCCCTGTGCGCTCGCGTTCCGCTGCCATGGCAGCAGGGGAGGGGTGGGGTGGTAGGAGCAGTGGCAGCTCCACCAGCAGCGGCTGCCTCAGTCTGCAGTCGATGATGAGTAGCTTTCTTCACCAGCGCAGTGAGGAAACTACTAACCAGCCGCAGCAGCAGCAGCAGCATCAGGTGGACCTGGAGCAGGAGCTCAAACAACAGGCTTGGCCTACTTGGACAGCACCCTGCCAACCGAGGTAGACAATCCCCTTGACTACTGGCAACGAAACTTGACCTTTTGGCCCCAACTAGCTGAATTTGCCCTTGAAAGGCTGTCATGCCCGGCCAGTAGCGTGGCATCGGAGCGCGTGTTTAGTGCGGCAGGAGGTATTGTAACTCCGCGGGAGGACACGACTGTCCACCCAAAGTGTGGAGAGACTCACGTTTTGTGAAAATGAATCAGGCGTGGATTAGTCTGGATTTCAAACCACCAGTTCCTGACACAACTGACTAAATCCGCCATGAATCATGCCTCAAACATGTGCCATTTTCAGGTCTCCTCACACACACTGCTGGTGTGTTTTAAATTTTTGAGACATAGGGTGCTGGCAGATTACGGGCCTCCTATAGCTGCTGCCAGGCCCCTAATCTGCCATGGCCCCTATATACCCCGCCTCCCTCATGCTGCTGCCAGGTCCAGAGTCTCTCATGGGTCCCTGTACGGCCTTCCCATTGCTGCTGTCTCCATCGCCACACTCTCTGCCATGTTGCCACTTTCAGGTCTCTCACACTGCTGCTGGTGTGTTAAGAATTTTTTGACATAGGGTGCTGGCAGATTACGGCCCTCCATAAGCTGCTGCCAGGCCCCTAATCTGCCATGGGCCCCTATATACCGCCTCCTCATGCTGCTGCCAAGTCCAGAGTAATCTCTGTCATGGGTCCCCCTGTACAGGCCTCCCATTGCTGCTGTCTCCATCGCCACATTCACTCTGCTGCCATGTGCCACTTTCAGGTCTCTCTTCACACTGCTGGTGTGTTTAAATGATTTTTTGACATAGGGTGCTGGCAGATTACGGGCCTCCATAGCTGCTGCCAGGCCCCTAATCTGCCCATGGGCCCCTATATACCCGCCTCCTCATTGCTGCAGCCAGGTCCAGAGTCTCTCATGGGGTCCCTGTACGGCCACTCCCATTGCTGCTGTCATCCATCGCCACACTCTGCTTGCCATGTTGCCACTTTCAGGCCCTCCTTCACACTGCTGGTGTGTTAAATTTTTTTGACATAGGGTGCTGGCAGATTACGGGCCTCCCATAGCTGCTGCCAGGCCCCTAATCTGCCATGGGCCCCTATATACCGCCTCCTCATAGCTGCATGGCCAGGTCCAAGTCTCTCATGGGTCCCTGTACGGCCTCCCATTGCTGCTGTCTCCATCGCCACACTCTGCCATGTGCCACTTTCAGGTCTCCTCATCACACTGCTGGTGTGTTAGAATTTTTTGACATAGGTGCTGGCAGATTACGGGCCTCACATAGCTGCTGCCAGGCCCCTAATCTGCCATGGGCCCCTATACCGCCATCCTCATTCTGCTGCGCAGGTCCAGAGTCTCTCATGGGTACCCTGTACGCCGCCTCCGCATTTGGCTGCTGATCTCATGCCATGGGCCACTTTCAGGTCTCCTCACACACTGCTGGTGTGTTAGAATTTTTTGACATAGGGTGCTGGCAGATTACGGGCCTCCCATAGCTGCTGCCAGGCCCCTAATCTGCCATGGCCCCTATAACCGCCTCCTCATCGCTGCTGCCAGGATCCAGAGTCTCTCATGGGTCCCTGTACGGCCTCCCATTGCTGCTGTCTCCATCGCCCACACTCTGCCATGTGCCACTTTCAGGTCTCCTCACACACTGCTGGTGTGTAGAATTTTTTGACATAGGGTGCTGGCAGATTACGGGCCTCCCATAGCTGCTGCTGCCAGGCCCCCTAATCTGCCATGGGCCCCTATATACCCGCCTCCTCATGCTGCTGCCAGGTCCAGAGTCTCTCATGGGTCCCTGTACGGCCTCCCATTGCTGGCTGTCTCCATCCCGCCACACTCTGCATGTGCCACTTTCAGGTCCTCACACTGCTGGTGTGTGTGTGAATTTTTTTGACATAGGGTGCTGCAGATTACGGGCCTCCCATAGCTGCTGCCAGGCCCCTAATCTGCCATGGGGCCCCTATATACCGCCTCCTCATCTGCTGCTGCCAGGTCCAGAGTCCCTCATGGGTCCCTGTACGGCCTCCCATTGCTGCTGTCTCCATCGCCACACTCTGCCATGTGCCACTTTCAGGTCTCCTCACACACTGCTGGTGGTGTTTGGGGGAATTTTTTGACATAGGGTGCATGCAGATTACGGGCCTCCCATAGCTGCTGCCAGGCCCCTAATCTGCCATGGGCCCCTATATACCGCCTCCTCATGCTGCTGCCAGGTCCAGAGTCTCTCATGGGTCCCTGTACGGCCTCCCATTGCTGCTGTCTCAGTCCCATCGCCACACTCTGCTGCCATGTGCCACTTTCAGGTCTCCTCACACTGCTGGGTGTGTAGAATTTTTTTGACATAGGGTGCTGGCAGATTACGGGCCTCCATTAGCTGCTGCCAGGCCCCTAATCTGCCATAGGCCCCTATATACCGCCTCCTCATGCTGCTGGCCCAGGTCCAGAGTCTCTCATGCCATGGGTCCCTGTACGGCCTCCATTGCTGCTGTCTCCATCGCCACACTCTGCTGCCATGTGCCACTTTCAGGTCTCCTCACACTGCTGGTGTGTTGAATTTTTTGACATAGGGTGGTGGCAGATTACGGGCCTCACATAGGCTGCCAGGCCCTAATACATGGGCCCCTATATACCGCCTCCTGCTGCTGCCAGGCCACAGTCAGATGCCATGGGCCCCTGTACAGGCTCCTCATTGCTGCACCTCCATTCACACTCACTCTGTGCTGTGCACTTTTAGAGTCTCCTCACACTGCACTGCTGGTGTGTCGAAATCTTCTGGCCCCCTATTGGGTGCTTAGCTGCCAGTCAGCCACAGGCCCTCTCATGCTGACTGCCACTTTCAGGTCTGCCTCAACCTGCTGGTCTGCCATGGGCCCACTTTGACATAGGGTGCTGGCACGATTCTCGGGTCCACAGGTGTACTAGACTGCTTCTCTGACATCTGGGCCATGGCCCTATTACGCTCATTTGCTGCATGCTGCTGCCAGGCCCACAGTCCTCTCATCAGGTCCCTGTACGGGCCTCCCATTGCTGCTGTCTCCATCGCACACTCTGCCATGTGCCACTTCAGGTCTCCTCACACACTGCTGGTGTGTAGAATTTTTTGACATAGGGTGCTGGCAGATGACGGGGGCCTCCATACGCTGCTGCCAGGCCCCTAATCTGCCATGGGTCCCTGTACCGCCTCCTCACTGCTGTCTGCCAGGTTCCACAGTCTCTGCTGCCATGTGCCACTTTCAGGTCTCCTCACACTGCTGGTGTGTTGAAATTTTTTGACATAGGGTGCTGGCAGATTACGGGCCTCCATAGCTGCTGCCAGGCCCCTAATCTGCCATGGGCCCCTATATACCGCCCGCCCTCATGCTGCTGCTGCCAGGTCCAGAGTCTCTCATGGGTCCCTGTACGGCCTCCCATTGCTGCTGTCTCCATCGCCACACTCTGCTGCCATGTGCCACTTTCAGGTCTCCTCACACTGCTGGTGTGTTTGAATTTTTTGACATAGGGTGCTAGGCAGATTACGGGCCTCCTATAGCTGCTGCCAGGCCCCTAATCTGCCATGGGCCCCTATATACCGCCTCCTCATGCTGCTGCCAAGTCCAGAGTCTTCTCATGGGTCCCTGTACGGCCTCCCATTGCTGCTGTCTCCATCGCCCACACTCTGCCATGTGCCACTTTCAGTCTCCTCACACTGCTGGTGTGTTGAATTTTTTTTGACATAGGGTGCTGGCAGATTACGGGCCTCCCATAGCTGCTGCCAGGCCCCTAATCTGCCAAGGCCCCTATATACCTGCCTCCTCATTGCTGCTGCCAAGTCCAGAGTCTCTCATGGGTCCCTGTACGGCCTCCCATTGCTGCTGTCTCCATCGCCACACTCTCTGCCATGTGCCACTTTCAGGTCTCCTCACACTGCTGGTGTGTTGAATTTTTTGACATAAGGGTGCTGGCAGATTACGGGCCTCCCATTGAAGCTGCTGCCAGGCATGTAAGTCTGCCATGGGCCCCCTGTACCGACTCCTCATGCTGTGACGTTGCAGGAACAAGGTGTAATTCAACCCTACATATGTTAGACCGCCTTTACGAACAGCTAAAGGCCATCGTCACAGATTCCTGATGTATAAAAGCGGATAATACTGGGAACTCCCTGTGTAACTTAGATGTCAGCCATTTGTCAGCTCATGCGTGACACCTGCAAGCGCTCTGCTCAGGCCCTTTTGAGTCATAGGCCTAACGCTATTCGTGAGCCTTCGGCAGGACTATGGGATGAATGAGGTCAAATCGGCCATGGTGGGCCCCCGAACCGTAAACCCCGCACTGGTTTCAGCTGCTGAGTCTGTAGCCACAGTGTGACCTGGGTCCCTGTATCGGTACGGCCATCCCATTGCATCCACTTCTGCCATGTGCCACTTTGAAATCTCCTCACACACTCCTGCGGCTTGTTCCATTTTGTCATAGGTTGCTGGCCAGATTATCAGGTCCTTCCCATTGGTGCCCGCCAGGCTCCCCATATCGGCCATGGGCCCCCCGTACCGCGCCTAGGTCACAATGCTGCACGCAGAGCCCACAGTGAGTGACTGGTGGGTCGCCTGTACGGCCTCCCATTGCTTCCACTCTGCCATGTGCACCACTTTGAGGTCTCCTTACACTCCTGCGGTTTTCCTATTTTGTCATAGGTTGCTGGCAGATTAGCGCCCTTCCATAGGTGCCGCCAGGCCCCATGAATCGGCCATAAGCGGCCCCCGTAACCCACCTCCTGGTCACATGGCGCCGCTGCTGCTGGTTCCCACAGAGTGACCTGGGTCCCCCTGTACGGCCTCCCATTGCTTCCACTCTGCCATGTGCCACTATTTGAAAGGATCTCCTTACACTCCTGCGGTTTTCCATTTTGTCGTCATACAAGGTTGCTGCAGATTACAGGCCTTCCATAGCGGTGCCCGCCAGTGCCCCATATCGGCCATCGGGCCCCGCCGACTACATACCGCCGATGGGTCACGCCTTTGAACTGGCTGCTGGGCCCACAGTGTGACCAATGGGTCCCTGTACGTGCCTCCCATTGCTTTCCACTCTGGGCCATGTGACGCCCACTTTGAAAATCTCATCTCACTCACACCTCCTGCAAGAGTTTCAATTGTCCATTTTGTCATAAGGTTGCTGCAGATTACAGGCCTTCCATTGGTGCCAGCGCCAGGCCCCAATACGGCCATGGGCCACCCCCCCGTACCGCCTGTCACGCCCACCCTGCTGCTGAGGACCGCACGGTGTGACCTGGTCCCTGTACGGCCTCCCATTGCGTTTCCACTCGGCCATGTGCCACTTATGCGAGGTCTCCATACACTCCTGGACGGCTGTGTACAAAGTTTTCGTCACGCGACCCGATGGAAGAGAAACGTAACCTAATGTCTCGACTCTAGGAGCCAGAAAGTTCAAGCGTGCCCCATATCGGCCCATGGGCCCCCGTATCCGTTAGGACTACAGCTGCAGCTTGCGTCAGCAGTGGTGGACCTGCGTCGCCATTTATCGGCCTCCCATTGCCTGTGAAACTACGTGCCAATGAACCACTTTGATAACGCGGCGCGGTTCTGCACTGCTTCAGACGGTTGGTCCCAATTTTGTCATAGGTTGCAGGCAGATTAGCAGGCCTTCCATAGGTTACCGGCCAGGCCCCATACGAAGTCGGGCCCAAAGGGCCCCCAGAACCTCCTGGTCCAACAGCTTGCGCTCGCTAAGGGACCACAGTGTGACCTGGGTCCCTGTAGGAGATGGGGGCCCTCCCATTGCTGCTGCCCAGGAGGCAGCAGCAGGGCGCAGCTGTCGTCAGTGGAGGCAAACCGGCCACAGAGTAGAGCAGCAGCTCCACAGCAGCACTACCACCATAGCCAGCTAGTGGTGCCGCCCCGGTGTGGCACGGAGGAAGTAGCAGTCAGTCCCAGTGAGAGGAGTAGCGGTGCTCAAAGTTTCCTACTCGGGCGGAGTGGCAAGTTTTCGTCAAGTCGCCGCCCTGAGGAAGTAAACGCTAGCCTAATGATCGACTATGTGGCCAGAAAGTTCAAGCGCGTGGCCAGGGGGCCCATGTTTGGGACACACAGCGTTGCGTCAGCACAATGCAGCGTCGCCATTCTTCGTGGCCTGTGAAAAAACGTGATAAAGATACGGCGGTTCTTGCCTGCCCCCAGGCCAGGCGTTCCATTATTGTCATAGGGTGCTGGCAGATTTACGCCGGCCCTTCCCCATAGGTTACGCGCCAGGACAGCCCCATATCGGCCCATGGGCCCCCTGATACCTCATCCTGGTCACTGCTGCTGCTGGTCCCACAGTGTGACCTGGGTCCCTGTACGGCCTCCCTTTGCTTCCACTCTGCCATGTGCCACTTTGAGGTCTCCTTACACTCCTGCGGTTTTCCATTTTGTCATAGGTTGCTAACAGATTAGCGAGCCTTCCATAGGTGCCGCCCAGGCCCCATATCGGCCAGGGGGCCCCCGTACCGCCTGGTCACGCTGCTGCGGCTGGGCCCACAGTGTGACCTGGGTCCCTGTACGGCCTCCCATTGCTTGCACTCTGCCATGTGCCACTTTGAAATCTCCTCACACTCCTGCGGTTTTTCCATTTTTGTCATAGGTTGCTGGCAGATTACAGGCCTTCCATAGGTGCCACCAGGCCCCAAATCGGCCATCGGGCCCCCCCGTACCGCCTAGGTCAGCTGCTGCTGGTCCCACAGTGTGACCTGGGTCCCTGTACCGCCTCCCATTGCTCCCCACTCTGCATGTGCCACTTTCAGGTCTCCTCACACTCCTGCTGGGTTCCATTTTGTCATAGGTTGCTGTATGGCCTCTTCCCATTGCTGCTGCCCTCCACCACCGCCACACTGTGGCTCCAAACACTGGTTTTGGCCCCGTGACTGGCCAAATGAGTGAAGTGTGCGGTGATTCTAAGATCGACGGCACTCATCTGCATGTCATACTGACTGACAGTATTATTTCTCTTCCCCAGCAGACTCCAAGGGCATTTAAATTAAAGGTACAGTGTTCTGCACTAATATTAAGTCTCTCTGAAGCCTAGAAACACTTTTTTTTAAGTTAAATTCACAGCGAATTTATTCGACTCGAATCGAATATTGTCCACGAATTTCGCCGAATCAGTCGAATCGAATTTTTCATTTCTTCGCTCATCTCTAGTCCTCATAATACTCTCACCCAGGAGGTGAGGGCTCTGTATTGGGGTTTGGACCTCAGTGGCCCTCCACACCTGGCATAGTTCTAGACCCCAGCAGAGCCAATCAAACATCCGCTGTTAGTGCCAGCAGCTGATTGGCTCTTTTTTCTCGCTATCTGTTGTATGGAGTGTTTCTATAGCCAATGTTTTTTAGTTTTAGTTTTGTATGGTGTGTGGACGGGTTAGATTTCCTCTCATATTATAATTCCTGTGGGGCCCCCCAGGGAGAGTCACCCTTTGTATGTGTCTTGGTGACAAAATCTCTGGGGCACAAAGTGAGGGGGAAATCCAAAACTTGGAGTTGTCACCAGAACAGGAAGAGAGGGGAAATCTTCCAATGGGGACACCTGTTATATTTCTTCTCTCTTTGGAGTGATTTTCCTGTTGTGTTTTATAGTGAAAGTGAAAAAAATCTCCCTGTGGGGCAATAACAATGTACCTGAGGTGTTGGATCTCCTCTCTCCCCTCTGTGTCCAGGCATGAAGACTTCAATCTCGTATTTCGGATTATAACCATCACATGTATGACATGAAGAATCAGAACTGCACTGGAGCGCCACCTACTGGACCACGCAGCCACCTTGTCCAATGAGGGCAGGAAACATGGTAAGCTGCAGCTGAAGCTGTCATTGGTCAGATCTTACCATGTGGGGCGGGGGGTGTCTATTCCTAGATAGGACTGTGATTTCAGTATTGGAGGCCAAAAACCCCAAACCCCCTCCAAAAGACGGGCCCAAAAAAATTATGATGTGAGATACAGGAATTTTGATTTCCCCCCCCCCCCGATGGGGGAAAGTTTTCCCCTCACACCCGGGAAAAAAAAAAGGAAACGTTTAAAAATGGAATGTTCGCCCCCCACACAGAATAAGGGGGAACAATGGGAAAGTTTGCCCCTCACACCGAAACGATCGGGGGGGGGCTAACAATGGAAGTTTGGTGTAAAACCCGAGAGACAGGGAAAAAAACAACCCAAATTTTCCCGAAATGCGTCTAACAAATGATGAAAGGATCTGGGAAGTTATTAGGGAAAGAAGGTTTGATCCCCTTTTACATAAAAATGACTTAGTACTTGGGGGCCAATCCCTTGTTGGGAAAACACAGAGGTCAGACGTTTCCCGGAGTTTGGCCCCCCGGGTTTTAAAACAAACCGGGGGATTTTGGCCTACTCCTTTGTTGCCTTTCCCTGTGTTTTGGGGCATTGTCATGCTGGAACACCCCTCCACCCCCCATTTTCAATGCCCCGGCTGAGGGAAAAGGTTCTCACCCCGAATTGGGGTACATTGCCCCCTCCCTCGTCCCTTTGATGC